GAGAGAGAGAGGGGAAAGAAGACGATGCTTCATTGATCGATCGATCCATCCATCCCTCGATTGCTCTTTCCTCTCCTCTCCGATTCCGACCCGCAACACACAAGCAATTCTACCGCCATGGCCTCCGAGAACCACACCGACAAGAACGCCGTCTTCAAGAAGCTCAAATCCAAGTCCGAGAACAAGGTCATCCGTCCAACCTCGCCTCTCTGCCTCCTTGTTGTTGTTCTTGTGTTGTTTGGAATGCCTTTCTGCTTATCATTTTGTTCTAGGTTACGGAGATCGGTTGCGGTTTCGGGATCTGGGAATGGGAATCCAGATCTAGCGATTCTGACTATGGATCTTTCTTTCTTTCTTTCTTCGCAGATGTGCTTCGATTGCAACGCGAAGAACCCCACCTGGTCGTCGGTGACGTATGGGATCTTCCTCTGCATTGATTGCTCCGCTGTTCACCGCAGCCTCGGCGTGCACATTAGCTTTGTTAGGTACGATGTGTGTCTCTTTCAGTGATTTGATGGGGTATTGACGGCTTGAGGTTTGTTGTTTTTGGATTTTGCCGATTGAACACATCTATCCTTCAGAATTATCAATTCTTAACTTCAAACGAGGCCATGCTGCCGTACTTTGATGCTCTTCTTATTTTGTATAAATAGAGAGACTGAAAGCTTTATATAGTATTTATTTCACCGTGATGATCAACAGTTCCTTGAAAGCTTAATAATTGGCAATAAGATCTCAAACCTCTTTGTTTCTTTAATTTTTAGCAAATCGAGCTTCAAACCAGAATAATCTTGTTTTCCTTCAAACCAAGGTAAATATGAAACTCAACCTAAAAAATTAGTTTGGTTTTGTTTTTATTGAAGCCTCTTTTCTTTCATTTTATTATCCTAATGTCATGGTTCCATTTTAGATACATTTCCTCTCCTAATTTCTCATTGAAGTGAGATTGAACCTATGAAAATGTAGCTTAGATGTGCATTCTGAGGTGGATCGTCTCAGCTTCGGTTATGATTTACATGAATCTTGCTGAGATCTGTTTGGATATAGCCGAGATACAAGCAGAGCTAGCCTAGTTGCATAAATGTAAGCTACACACACATATATGTATATATATGTATATGTATATGCATGTATATGTATATATATACATATATATGTACATATATGTACATATATATGTATATATATATAAAGCTAGATCTGTACATATTTGGCCTGCATTTGCATAAAACTAGGCTATATATAAATGGATCTACAGGTCCATGCAAATTCCATCTAGGTCCACACTGATTTATCATAGATTTTTGTTGATCTAGGTTAATTACGTATGAATCCTCATTTAAGAAACAAATCTAGGTCAAACCCGTGCTATCACAGACTTATCTAATTTGCCTAAACCCCACGTGACATTTGTTCACAAAGGGACTACCCTAGTTATAACACTCTGCAATTCTGAAGCACCTGCAAGAGAGTTGCTTTCAAATAGCTTGCGGATAAACTGCCGTCATCATGTTGCCCATGTCAAAAATTCGGGATTGTACAAGCATTTACTGCAACATCCTATTGCCATCAAAACAGGCATACGACAAACTGTCTATGGCTGACATTTTAGGTTGCCACACTTAAATGGCTTGCTCAGGGGAGTTCTTGGGTGTTGAGATGACTAATGTTTTGTTAGTTATTTCTACTTAGCATATCTCCTTCTTACAGGCCGAAGATGCTATTTTCACTTGTTTGTGCTTCATGCAATGACTAAATGTTCCTCTCATGGACTGACTTAAACGACTGCAAGGACTGAAGATACATGTCAAAATGAGGCTCCTGGTCTATTGCATGTCTTGTTACCGTATAGATTGTCCATGAAAACGACACTACACAAAAGAATGTGCTGCTGCATGACCATGTTTGTCATCTCTGTGCACTGTGACTGTTGCTTCACAACAGTTCCTGCGTGCATTGTGGGTCTGCAACAGCAGCCCATGACATCCTCTCAACATATTTTCTCGACACCCTTGTCAAAGCCTTAATGAATGCTACAACTTGAACATCTTTGAGCTGCAACACACCTTTTGGTTCCCAACTGGTATCTTAAATCCTTTTTCCTTCGGTGTATTGCGGTAGTGGATGATAATGTTAATATTGCAACAACGATTGAAAGTGATGAATATGATGATTGCATCGACTAACAAATGCAATAGTAGCAGTATCTTCTCTATTTCACAATTGTTGTCATAGGTTTGTTATGTTTTTCCCCCTTGATCTACCTTCCCTTATTCCCCTTCTTTCCTTTGACTATTTCTTTTTCTTCTTTTGCTGCTTTCGAGCTGCCTGAAATTGGTTAAATTTGGCCAACCCCAATTGAGCTTGATCTATTATAGAAATTTTCAATTATTCTTGCTAAAAGGTTGAGCAGTTAAATTTCCAAAATTGAATTGATCTTATACCATTTCTATACCATCATGGCATATCATATTGGTATCATGCAATGTTGTGAACTATGCTTAGCACTTTTCCTATGTTATTTAATTTTTTTTCTTATGGCATGATTTACTTTTTCAGTAGCTAATTGGATTTTGTTTCTGTGAATTATAGGATCTTAAGAAGTTTGTTTCTGTGAATTCTAGGTCTACCAATTTAGACTCATGGTCTCCTGAGCAACTCAAGATGATGGTATTTGGAGGCAATAATCGTGCTCAAGTTTTTTTCAAACAGCATGGATGGACAGATGGTGGTAAAATTGAGACAAAATACACATCTAGAGCGGCTGAATTGTATAGGCAGATACTTTCTAAAGAGGTTGCTAAAAGCTCTGCAGAAGATAGTTTATTACCTTCATTGCCTGTTGCTGCATCTCATTCATCAGATGCAGTTAGTGGAATTCCTGAACTTAAGTTTGCAGATGCACCCAAGGAAATCTCTAATGGGAAGCATGAACCTGAAACTACACATTCACCTAAAGCTCACACTCATTCGACACTCCTGTCTTCTGCTAGAAAACCAATTGGTGCAAGGAAGACCACAGGCAAGACTGGTGGACTTGGGATACGGAAGCTAACAACAAAGGTAATCTTTTACTATCATGTTTTGATGGATCCATAAATATAGGAATAATACTTATCGAAACATATATAGTTGGATTTTGGTGTCCTTTGCTTTTTATTCAAAATTTCTGTTTCAACTTCTGACATTCACAACTTACCAATACAAAGGATGCTTATGCTAGTATATGCGTGAACCCTATTTCATGCAGGTAACAATTATGAGTCAATAAGACAGAAGATGGTAGAGTGGGCTTTTGCCATGCAGTGATTTAACAAATTGAACCTAAAATATCTCCAGTTTCATAATCGTGACATCTTCTATCCAAATTTGTAACTTGAAATTCTGCATTTTTGTTTCATTTCTGTTTTCTGCAAAGTAGGAACTGAAATAGTTCTTGAATGTCACAGAGTCTGAATACTTGATGCTACATTATATCAGTCAGATATTGATGTCTTAAATGATAAGCCACTCTCTTACCCTTTCATATTATATATTGAAAAGATGTAGGAGTTTCTATGTAATTTCTCAGGTCACTCTCCTGACGCACGCCCCTTGGTGAAGGTGGTTTGCATGTCTGTTTGTCTTCCTATGTATGCTCTAATGAAGCTTTTTATTCAATCTTGTGATAAATTATTATTCTGATTGTAGTCCTTACTTGGCAAAGGTCAACATGTTAACCTTAGGATACTTTTGGTTTCAGCCAAATGAAAGTCTCTATGACCAGAAGCCTGAAGAACCAGCACCTTCTGTGACATCTTTGGCTAACTCTAAGACACCAGGTGGTCCATATTATCCTTCTCGGTTTGAGTATGTGGAGACCAATCCAATGGAGAGTAGTTCTGGAGGCGCTCAGTTGATTAGTCATATTGCACCACCAAAATCTTCAAGCTTCTTTGCAGAATATGGAATAGACAATGGCTTTCAGAAAAAGTCAAGCTCCAGTTCATCAAAAGTACAGGTAAAATACTCTAAATAATTTTTTGTTAGTATATTCGGTTGCCAGGTGTCTTTTTCTTGTTATAAACTCATTAAGTCGGACAAATTTTTAAAAGTAGAATTGTTCAGATTAATTATCATCATGGTAGTTCAGTCTAAGGTTTCAACAGTTGGTCCAATATCAATAGTGGTTATTGAGCAAGCCGATATGTACCAGTACCGTTGAGCATACCATGTTTCCATATGCCCCTGTGCACCTTTTATTCTACCCTTGGTGGCTTGTAAATCCTTTGAGATGTTTTCCACATTGGCTGGCGGAGAGGGATTAGCTGATAGGAGAGGCTCTGATTTATTTGAGGTTCACCAACATAGGAGTTGGCATGGGAGGTCCTAGGGATGGTGGTACAGTTGGCAATTTGGGGAAAGGAGTCAAAATTAGAGAGGATCTTCTCCAGTTGTACTTATGGTTCGGTTATTCATTTTCTTGGGCTTGATAGTTAAGATGTATTCAGTGACTAAGTGATTTTTATTGATCCCTTCTTACTATTCATAGTTTCTAGACTCTCTGGAGATCTGGAAGAGAAATAGTTTTTTACTTTGTCCCAAGGTTTGCAATACCATACCGTACCGATATTTCGACCTGGGCTCGGTACCGGTACGGTACGGTATACCGAGCGGTACACCTGGGTGTACCGAGTACTGTAGCACTGCTACAGTGCTACAATGCCTCGGACCGGTAACAGTCGGTCCGCGTACCGAAAACCTATCGGACCGGTACGTACCGCCCGTACCGGGCGGTACGACTCGGTACGGCAGACCCTGCTTTGTCCAAAGGTCATTTAATTCATCTTACTATTCATTTAACAAGGTATGAAAATATCAACCTTTGTCAGTGCTACAAATATAATCCGGATATCTGATACTTGATGAATGAGTCGAGATAATTTCTTCAATATTTTGACTACTGAGTTATTGATGTTCTTTTAGTTTATTAGGATGTTCTTAACCAGCAATGATGTGCCTCCGTAATAGCCTCACTAGTTGTGTTGTTGCCCTTAGCCCAAGCTCAAATAAATAAAATAATAAAAATAAGTGGTATACCGAGTGTACCAAACTGCATGGTCTAAATAAAATACCTGGAGCTTGGTCAAGCCAGTATCTTAAACCGTGATTTAAATATTCTTGAGGATGAACTTGCAGTGCTTTTAATCGTGAAATGCACTTTAAGACTATGTTACTAGTGCAAAAGCATAAGTAAACCATATGGATTTGGATTTTAATATATCTGTATTGGTTTACAGATTAAAAATTGTGATAAGTGAAGAATGTTTTGATCTGGTTAGCTATGCTTTTTCTTTGCCCCCTCCCTCCATTTTGTCTAAGAAACTACATCAAATTGGATTATTTGCTTTTCATGAGGAAAAAATGGTAAGCATGCCAATTTTACTATTTTTAAAAAGGATCAGTGGAGCTTTCCGTAACATATGTAGAAGTTGGTAGTGAAGGATAGATAAAAGATCTTTGTAACTTTAAGCATTTTAACTAAATTTGTTTGTGCAGTAATATTTTGTGGAATATGATCCGGAACATTGTCACCAATTATAATCGACTAAAGCAATATCCAGTTGTATCATGGACATGTAGCATTAAGTTGCTATATGACAGTCGCACACTTGTAACCACTTCGATCAGTTGTTGGTCTTCTTAAAGATGCACTGGGTTTATTGTGAAATATACATCCTATTTTTGCTATGGTCCTCAGGTTCAGGAAAGTAATGAAGCAAGGCAGAAATTCTCAAATGCGAAGTCAATTTCTTCAACTCAATTCTTTGGTAACCCAGACAAAGCAACTGACAATGAGGCTCATATGTCCCTTCAGAAGTTCACGGTATGTTCAGTTGCTGTAATATCGTCAAGATTGAGTAGGTTCATGAGCAATTGCTAGCAGAAAACTTGTATATCCATCCCGAAAGTCTGCAGACATGATGCATGCCCAGTGACGTCATGAGTGTGGCCCAATCCCCGAGAGGAAAAAACTCCAAATTTATGGAGTTAATTAGGATTGTCTGATGATCTGGAAATATTCTGTTGCCAATAGTAGTCTCAGAGGACAAAGTCCATCCTGGATTTAGATGATCCTTTTTAACCCTATCAAATGTGGCTATGCTTAAAACCCTGGCAGGCAATCCTAACGTGTTTTAAGATGCTCATAATCTTGTCATCGTTTATGTAGGGGTCAAAAGCCATTTCAAGTGCCGATCTGTTTGGTCATGATGTAGGAGATTCTGGGCTGGACCTGACTGCTGCAGATCTCATCAACCGGATCTCTTTCCAGGTGCCTTTTGTCGGATTGCTGTTGACCTAGGTTCCAACTTTAACACTTTATATAAGCACAAAATCCCGAAACGCCTTAATCTTTTGGGTCTCAGTTTGGTGTTAGATATTGTTGTAGGAACTCTTCTGCTTATTTAGAAAGCTTGTTTTTACCAAAAGTGCAACTTTGCATTTCTAGGCATCACAGGATATGCCCTCCCTCAAGGACATAGCTGGAGAAACTGGAAAGAAATTGACGACTTTAGCTTCCAGTCTTATCAATGATCTGCAAGATAGAATCCTTTAGTGGTGCTGTATTGAGTTCATATGTATGCATCATCAACGGCCAGCTACTCAAATCATAAAGATCCATCCAGTACGAACATCTCAATAAGTTGTAAGCACATGTTCATCGATTTCTTGCAGAATATATACTTGTAAAATTAGTCATTGTCGACTTCGTAACTGAAGTCAACTTGGCGCCGAGTGTATTTATTTTCCATCAACACGAGTGTGTATCTTTGATTGTATTTGTGCGCTTTGAATGCTCCAAAGTGTTTTGTTTGTTTATTTTTGACACCGAATTCTTTGTTTATACTCCCAGAGTTGCACGTGTTTCTCCTTCCATTACTGGAGTTTTGTTATTCTGCAGGCAGGTACTTATGGCATAGCATGTCATTTTTGTTAAGAAAAAAAGAATTTTTTTCTTTCTAAAATCCGAATTATATTCAGAACATATTTGGAGCATGGAACGTCTTTAGTCGCTTGGTATTATTAACTTAAAAGGCCACTCACAACACCTGATGCAAGTAATATAAATGATTCCCATCCTACATGGAACTTTAATTATGAAAGGTTTATTGGACAAATCAAAATCAACATCCATAATCTTCCATCACATAGGTCAGGTGAATCCACAATAAAAGAATGTCGTGAGCTACTACAATGTTTCATAATTATATCAACTATGTTAGTTGCAACATCTGGTTTCAAACGTCTTAAAGAAGAGCCGATGCGACCACACCAAAGCGAACTAAATGGACATATTTGATACATACTGAAAATTTTTGCAAAACCGTGTGATTAGCTAGCTATAGCTATAGCATCACTAGCCACAATTATTGATGATATTATCAATAACATTGATAAAAGACCACAATTATGTGGCGAACATATTAATATCTAGAACTCAGCCAACACAACCAAGACTATTCCAAAGATTGATTGCCCCTCCAAATTCTAGAGGAATGGTCATTTATTTTGACAAGTATTATAGACCACAATTATTAATAATAGCATAGCACAACTTGCTTCCAAAAACATTTCAACACAATCTCACATCTAATCCACTAGGAAAGCTTCAATGAGGAAGGCTATTCTTAAATGTAAACAAAGAAATTTGGTGACAAAAAAATTAATATAGTTTGCTGAAATTTTTAAAGAAAAGATATTACAACGGTGTGAATGACTATGAAACATGAATCTTACTCAGATGTGCAGTTACGTAAGTTGTGAAGTACAGACTCGACATGCAGAATTCTCTGCACCAAGGATCCTCTTGTTTGGAGTCACTAAAAGGGTCTTTGTTTCGCTACATTTGGACCATACAGGAATATGTGTTTCCTCGTTCCTCCATAGCTTGGAAGCCAGCATTTTGAGAAGGCCCCTAAGGTAATTTGCCACTGCTGCGACAATGTTCCTACGTTATGAAGACAATGGGTATATCATCGATGGAATATGAAAAAATAGAGATCTTAAAATACATGCACCAAAGTAAAATATCTGGTATTTCACATTCTAATCAGTCTCTAAATATCCAACATTTTCTTGGAAAAAAGAAAAAAATTTCAAGCATTATGATAAGATGTGTACTAAAAAAGAAGCTTTCTTCTGGAAGTTTATTATATTAGAACTCTACCAGGACATTTCCTAAGAAGCACCTTTCTTCCTTCAATTTCCCTGATTGCAACATGTGAAAGATAAAAACTCTGCAATTGATTATGTCAAACCAATTTCAACCTCTAAGAAAGCTAGCTATAGTTCAATTTAGAATTACAATCAAACGCAAGATGCAAAATATTTAATTTGTTTTCCTTTTCTATCATCTCAATGGTCTTTAAAGAATATAATTAGCATATCTATTTTACCATCATATAAGAGATATTTTGAGAGGCCAGTATGTTGTCACTATTTTTAGTTTCTTCTCGCATTAGGCAGCTTGCAAGGGACTTCAAGTAGCCTCCGTATCCTCATTTGCTTCGTTTTTGCATCATATTTGCTTTAGTTCAGCCTGAAAGCCTAAGCTTGCAGAGCATATTGAGCGGTCTTCACATGGAGCCAAAATAGTGCATGTGCAGTGGAATTTATTCTCAATGGCATGATGCAAAATGTCAGCCATCACAGCCCCTTTGAAACCCCTAGGCAGCATACCTTAAGATAGGACTTTAGTTACATATCTTAGGGGTGATACAATATCTTTAGCAAGTTCACTTTCTGTTCACCAAAAGTGATAGGTGGTCACTAGGCCTGCACCAGCCTTCGGAGCCCACTATGTGAATAATAGTTTTTATCTTGGACTCGCTTCAAGTTTGCCGACTCATATCGGGGGGAAAGCTATAGCTTCGCACCACTCATATTTTGTGGGTTACAAAACTATTATTCATTCCAAGACTGATAATCTCATTACAATTTTTGACCTCTTTTATATAAGCCACAAATACAAGAAGAGAAGGAAGTAATTAAAAAGACAAAATAAAATTTGCATCAAGATGATTCAATACATTGTATCTTATCATCTTTTGAGAAGATAAGCTTCTAGAATATTATTATAAAATAACCTTCATTCTTTGTGCATAATACTCTTCATTTCTTGTAAGATGATAATTCTGTAAAATAATCTTTCTTCTTTGTGCATGATGCTCTTCCTTTCTTGCAAGATGATAATTCTTACAATATTCTCTTTTATTTATTTCCTCCAACTTTATTGTCAAGATGATGATTCTTGCAATATTCTAATTGTGCAAGATGTTGCAATCCTAAAATATTAATTAAACCCAAACCCGATTTCATTATCAATGGTCTATGGAATGTACCTTGTTTTACATCACAAGAGGTACTGTCAGTTCACAAGGTTTATGAGGTAGTAAGCCTTATATCGCAAGTGGATGTGACACATTTGAAATTCAGTAGTCTGCATTCCATTTCAAGCCTGGACAAGTATGTCCCACCCCGTACACATTAGTCTAGACAAAATGTTAAACGTTGGTTGGTATGTCTGCTTGCAACAACTTAAAGTTGCTAGTGTTGTTGAAAAACGTCTCTCATAACTCCGATAAGTCCTTGGGCTGTTGGGGAGTTCATACAATTAGTGTGATAGCACTTAATGCAAATACAAGAGCCAAAACATCCTCCAAAGAACTTTGCAAGGCTTGGATGATTATGTTGGTCCAAGGTGTCCTCCACGCAATGGTATGTGGACCAGTGGGAGTATATGCCGACTCCCATATCCACTACCATCACTGTGTCCATACCCAGTTCCTAAATTTATGAAATTTTATGTTATGACCTTATAAAAATTAGTGCCAATAACTACAAGTTCAAAGTGCTATAGATGTTAGTAAAAGGAAGTTTAAATAACAAAACACAACCAGAGCTTGTTCTTTGTTCATTTTCTAAAGTTTTAAATGCCTACATTCATTATTTAAGAAGAGAAGTGAAAAATATGTATAGGAAATTATAATTAACTCAAAACTTTTAGAAGCTTTCAACAACTCAAGTGAAATTTATTACAAATAGGAAAAGTTGGCCTAGTAAGTCATGAATTGACCAACATAAAGGCTTCCCAAGTAGTACCTCGTCTCTCCAAGTCCATAAAAAAGTAGTATACACAATAAATGTAAATGTATAAGTATGTAGACAAATATTTCGGGGATCAAACAGTCCTTTATTATATATAAAATAAGTTCAACTTCTATCACTTAAAATGACTTAAATCGAACAATTCTCAGTTCCTAAAAATTTTCTACCAGCCAACTTATTTGAAAAGTTGTGTGAAGTGTCAGAAAAGAAAGAATTCATACTATTGGAAATTGTGTGAAGAGAGAAAAATAAAAAATAGATGGGGTCCAAGTCAAGTGGTGTTCTAATCATTTGTTGGTGACTCCATTTACACATCATTCTGAATGGCAAGAAACGCTGAAAATATTATTTAACACCACAGATACATGAAGTGTGAAATAACAAATACAAATTTAATATGAGAAAATTGTAATGGACCTTCTATCAGAGAATGAGCTTTATCACTTCAGAACAAACATCTAAGACCCTTCTATTAGATTCCTTGTTTCTTAAGCTACATTATCATTGCTAGAGATCCGAGTTGTTGAAAGAGACAAAGTAACAATGCTATATTTCTCAGCTCTTTCTGAAACACATCCAGAAACTTCAGTGATAGCTTTACTTTGGCATTTCATGCATTTGGACTAACAAGTTAACTTGTTAAAAAAAAATGATAATAAAGAGATATGTTCATGCATTTGCACTAACAAGGTAACTTGTTAAAAATAATAAATATGAAAAAAAATTGAGATAATAAAATAGTAGTGTGCTGTTGTTCATTTTAAAAGTAAAATACTTACAATGGGGAGCAGGGAGAATGGCTGCCATTCACAAAGTAAACAAACAAATATGAATCATAATGCTGGCCGTTGATGTAGTAGAAGTTTTGCAACCGTCTTATAAACTTAAATAACATCTTCCTGTAGAACTTTATGGCTGGCAGGTTGTAAGAAATGACATGCAAATACACTGCTCTACAGTTTGTGATGCTTGAAGCATATTTGATTACCTCACGAACAAGTGAAGTAGCTGCAAATGCCATAATGAGATGAGCAGAAAATGTTCAGTATATAAAAAGCAATCAAGGAACTTAGACAAGGTCACAACCTATCCCATAGTTTCTATAATGCTCTACAACACCTAGCGTCAAGATATAGACTAGCATTAGTTCTTTCCTTGAAGATCTATGCCTAAGCAAATCTGCAATCTGCATGAGCAAAGTAGAACAGTAAATGATCAATTGCAAGGAACATGAGTTAAAAGGATGAAAATAGATTATAGAGTGTCAGACACCTCGCTTTCTCTCGCTGAGATAAGACGTGTAGTGATAAATCCAACAAGTTCATCATTTTGTCCATCGACAGCAGCCCACGATACTATTCCATGGCCATGCACAACATTGAGGAAGAAATCTCTTTCATACCTATAAACATTGACAAAAACTGTCCCATTATTCATGGCATACGATGATAAAATTTCTTTGGAGTGCTTTTGACGAATCAAACTTTTTTACATATAAATACCACAATTAAATGGGATACCTTATAGGAAATAAAGCAAGATGAATCTGCTCAAGAACTTCAAGATCTGAAGGTTGTATCGGTCTATAAATGATTGTCGGTCGGTGAGAACCTCTAGGTTCTAACATCAGTAAGTTTCACTACTCGTTGTGGGCAGTAAAAGAATTTCGAAGAATGTGCATATACAACTATGCTTCATCTATGCCACATCTTAATAATGAAGTTGTAGCTGTTTTGTATCTCCCTGGAAAGAAAATCATAAAATTTGTTTGAGTGACTGACAAGAAAAAGTGATTACCACTTGTCAATTCCTGGAAGATCCTTGGTAGTGAGTTGTACATTGATTGTAGCAACAGGTCAAGGAAGCCTCAAGCGATAAACTATAAATAAATTTTAGCAAAATTACATGCCTCCTATAACTATAGTCAAACCCATATATAATTTTAGAAATAAAACATGCCATAAGAAAATACCTATACATCACCTCATAAAACTTATTGTAAATTTGGAAGTGGCCTAATGACTGACTAAACAAATCCAAACTAACCACATTGGTATTACATGAAAACCCTCTACTTCATCTCCTGCTTCAAGTTAAACACCTTTCCATGTGCACATGTTCCTGATCCCCATTACAAAAACATTTTGAGATGGTTACAAGCTGCTTCACAACCAAACTCATAAACTATAAATTGCAAGGCCAAACTAGCAAACACGTTTGCCTTATTGCATACTTCACAACTAGATCCTATATGTCTGCTTATATGTATAGTAAATATTATACCTGAATCGAAGTGTCTTGCTATGTTCCCTGTTTATGTTTACATATAAAGTTAATAGGAAGCAAAATCTCTATACGATTGATTAAAATTAACAAAGTTGACCCATCAGAGGAGAACAAATTATAGCCAATCAATGTAGGTGGACTCTAAACACAGTTAAATTGCTGGCAAGGGCAAATTCATACAAGAAAGTACTATTTCAAAGCATATGAAGCTGTGCCTGCGGGTGTTGTTATCTGACCACCTCGAGTAACGCCTACATGGACTTAAATATGGTGTTACTGAACTTGCAGTCTCAATATGTGATTATACTGATTATGTAGTCACACAAAACTTCACATGCACTTTTGTGGCTGCATATCCAGTAGAGGTGCTATCAGTGCATTTCTTAACTTTAAACATGTAATTGGCATACAGTTGCACATGCAGCCTACAAAAGCATGTAAACAGGGTTAAGAAAATGATTCATGATTCCTAATTATTACCATTTTATTTATATAATTGTTACCATTTTAGTAGCATGGTACATGTTATGATGATCTAACATTGATCACTAACACCTATAGCGAATTCTCATTGTCATCTAAATAAATGAGTATAAATATTAATAACTAAGAACTAATAGCTAACTCTTATTGTCAATCAAACATGTTTTAAATGAGTATAAATATTAATCTACATTTCTTCGTTTGTAGCATATATCTACCTATTAATTACTTAAAGTCGATTGTACGTTTTTTGTTTGTAATTAATGTATGTTATTCCGTATATTTTAACATGCAGCTGCATACACAACATATGTTTTTATGTGGTATCTTGACTACTCAAATATGATGACTGATTTATAATTATTGCGAGAATGTTCTATAAGGATACTTATAAAGCTTGTTTTCGAGCACTTGGACCTACGGTTATGCCAACTAAACACATGAGATTAAGAAATCACTTTTTCAATGACGCAAAAGAAATATAAGATATTGCATGAGTGAGAATTTTCTTTCTGAGATCTGTGACCAATCTTTGGTTCCAGTCAAGATCTTTAGTCTATGACAATATTTCCAAAATTCTGAATCTCAAAACATTTTTTTTCACAGAAACTTATCCTTTTTGGATAAAACAACAAAGCTTAAACTTGGAAAGTACAATGCAAGCCTAATAGCAGCTGGCTACATAAGATCAATGCATAAGTAAGCATATCCTTTATCCAACAATAAACAAAACATTTTTTTCAATTTTTGTTTGTTTTATCAGTTCCTTTATGGATAATTATGGTGTACGAACCAACAACAAGGGTAATGCCTTAACAAGCTCAAAGGCATAAAGTAAACTAGCAAGTTATAGCCAACATGCAAATATAGTTTAAATGGAATTGTAACAGTTAGTATGTTCATATAATCAAACTGTTCAAGTCATATAAACTATTTCATCACAAAGCTACAGACAGTAGGATGTGAATAGACTAAGAGAACATAACTTTTCTTACACGCTATTTGAACGAAAAGGAAAGGATCACATAACAAAAATCTCAAGCCAAGAAGACAAAAGAACTGCATTCGTTCGACAAGGTTAGACTCAACAATCAGAATCATGTTTCATTTGTGCAGAAAAGATCAGGCAGTCCGTAAATTAAACTAACCTAGAAAAAGAAATCACCACCTCCGATCAATCGAATCGTGCGCCAAAAAAGAATAACACAATATTGATATCACCAAGTAACTATTACGGTTCGCACGATTGTTGCTCCAAAACCCTAAAAATAATATGCCCAAATCAAGAACACAACTAAAAACCAAAGCACCAAATCACCGATTTCAAGCGTTGAGATGCGACGAGAGAACAACCCCCCGAAACCGATCACGCAAAAGAATCCACACAAAAGGAAAGAATTAGGAGAGGGGAAGGAATCAAGAGCCGATCTCTCGCAAGAAGAAAAGATGGGTCGCAGGTGGTACCTTTGGGCGCGCTGAAGCGATGCTTTCTCTCGCGGAATTGTGGACCTAAAATAAGGAAAAGCGAGTTACAGTACTCCACGATCACATCTTATGTTATTAGGTGACGGGTCGAGAAGAGTTCGTGGTAAGGGTATGGGTTCAAAGATGGAAGAAAAGGGCAGACATGGAGGGGTCGCGTTAGATGAGACTCGAGGAAGAAGTTATTCCATCACTGTGTGTTATGATGCACATCGGAAGTTCTAATCTCGATCGTGAAGTCATTGTCGTAAAACATAATTAACTAGAAGTATAATTTATTAGAGAGATCGATTGACAGTCATTGCTGGTATTATGGCCATAATCATCAAAAACGAATCGAACATCAACCCGATTGAGTCTCAATCATCAAATTATTGGTTGAATTGAAAAGTTAATTGATCAAATCATATGTTTAATATTTTAAAATTAAAAATATGGTGAATTTTTGAAAAAAGTTTTTTACTTTTTAAAATTTTTCATAGAGTGTCTTTGAAAATTTTCGAAACAACACATGAGACTACGTGAAAAGATTATTTTGTTTCTTTTATTGGATCTATCGTCATCTCCGCCTTTACTAATCCTATCGATCCAGTTGCTACATATTTTTCTCGTGACCCTTGCACGAGGAAATAATAGTGAAAGCATGTGATCCCCTCCTCCTTCCTCCCATACGGTCGATGACGATGGCACGTGGGTCGCCTCCTTCTCCTTCCTCTCTCATGATCGACGACGTGAGGAGGGCTTTCGGGTGACGGTAAAGGCCTCACCCCAACCAACAGCGAGGGCACACAACTGACCCCTCTTTTTTCTTACTCATAATCGATGGTGCATTCTCTTCCTTCTTCTCTTGTAACTAACAACTAGGAGAGGGGATAGGTCTATAGGCGACGATGACAAAGATTACGAACGGCTATTTAGGACGAAGGGGATGATCGACGAGGACGATAGTGGTCGATATGGGTAAAATGATATTTTTTATTTTTTTAAATATGCTTGAAATAGATATTGATATACTAATAAAAAAATATATATATTAATTTAATGATAGAGATTAGTCGATAATAATAAGAAAATAACTTGAATGGATCGGCATTGTAATTGAACCCATAAACTTTCGAATAAAAAATAACTAAATTACCATATGAGTTACATATATTTTAGTAATTTTTATTAGAGTATCAAATTTTGGTTATGACATATTATTGTTGTCAATTAATTCTTGTGCTATTTAATTAAAATAACTAAATTACCATCAATTTCATCTTTCTTGTGATATTTAATCAATTTGAAGCATCGAAATTTCTTTTTTAGTTGCAAAAACCAAATTTCAATTTGGTTCAACTTGACATTTTATGTTGTCTTGATACAAAATATTGTTGAAAGTGGATGAAGAAATTAACTATCATTCCGTTCACAAATTCCCTCAAAGATCCTTAAGAGAATACCTATCTTTGTCTCACTCTATCTTATCTTGCTCTAGACATTTTTGTGATTAGTGTATTATTACACTATTAATATCTCAAGTTCAAGTTTACGTATGAGTGTTTCGTATTATGATGTAATTTTTTTTTAATTATTTAAAAAAAAATTCTATAGTGGATTTAAAATCGAGGAAAATAATTTTTAAGTCAATCAAGATTTGCATTGTAGTATAGAAGTATATACTGTACAATCTCATGTCATATTATAATATACAAAAAATTAATAAGGATGAAGTAACCATTAAACTTGCAATCAAAGTAGTGTTAGAACTCCTTTCTGTCAAAAAGAGATGGACGAGAGACTTAATTGGATTCAAAACTTTTCAAGACTTAATCGAATAACTTTCTGGCTTAGAGCCCATTAAAGAACATAGCTAACTAATTCTATATATATATAAAGAATATTATAATCTACTCAATATCAATCAGAAGAAATGGGTTAGAGAAAATAAACATCAAGAATTATTTTATTTGGTCGTTAAAATGCTAGAAATAATGGAAATGAAGTAAGGATACCTACTGTAGAAAAGAATGATAGTATTGATGGCTAGTAATGAATCAAATAGCGAGTAAGCTATATGTTTAGTAATATTGAATTGGATCAGCAAAAAACTAAGCATAACTTCAAAGATCGCACTTAATTATGATCTTGTAGCTGTCGGTAACTCGATTCTTCGTCATGACTGCTCCCAATCTTCACTTACAGGAGGAAGCTAAGACTCGAGATCGGGAATTTGGATTCAAATGGCTTCTGTGATAAGAGACGAAAGAAGGATAGAGAGGAAACGAGAAAGAAAGGGATAGAAAATGCAAGCAAGGACGATTCGATGGCTGGCATCTGTACCGCAATGGCAGGGGGCTACAAGTTGACGACAGAGAGGGAGCCAGTTCGAGTAATGATCCAACAGGGGGGAGAATAAATGGTCAAGTACAGAGATGGAGGGCTTTGATTTGCTAATTATCAATACTTATATGAGGCGCATGATTCGAAACCCAAAAGAATCCATCTCACTCATCTAGGAAGCAACGGCATGCATGCATCGATCAGGTTTATGTGAACGCCGGTTGAAGATACAGCTCTTTGATAGGATGGATAACTAAATCTCATCAAATGATTTGCATGGAGGAGTGATGTTGTAGATTTCTATACTAGATTGTACGTCTTATAGCTCTCGATTCATTCCTATCGAGGACCCCGACAGCAGGCACTGGCGATGGAGTTATTGGTGTCTATTTATGGTGGGATGTGCCGCATCGTAAGAGACGTGGGAAGAAAGGAAAGAATAGAGATGGTGAAGAAGAGGGAGAACGAGGGGAAGAAGAAGAAGAGTGTCATGGCGTGGAAGAGAGGCGCATGGAGTGCTGAGGAGGACCGGAAGCTGGTGGAGTACGTGACTGCCCATGGTGACAAGAAGTGGAGAACCCTAGCGGCCAAAGCTGGTCTGTTCCCGTCACCTTTTCTTCTCACTCCAAGATCACATCATGACATGCATGAGCCCGTACCAACTTTACCTCAGGAAAAAGATGGTTTTCTCGAGCATTCAATTTACCGCTGCCGCTGCTGTGGCTTTGAATGGTTCTAAGTTTTTGTGCCCAGGAACACATGACTTCCAGAAAAGAAAGTTCTCTAGCTACAACAAAATCTAATCCTGTCCTCATTCTCCATATCACGGACACCCATCACTTCTCCTCCTTTCCACTCTTTTACTGTTACTTCTTCAACGTAGAAGATCAGCAAACTTGCTCTTGATCTGCTACTGATAAAAACAATGCTACTCATGGGTGTTCTTGTTTCGATTTCACTGGGAAGAAAAGATCAGAAATCAGATATGCTGTCGCTGTTAAGAGCTTCACCGAGAGAGCTATGTGAAGCTCGAATCATTGTGAACAAAAGCATTTTACATATTTTTTTTTGAAGGCAAAAGACAACTATCACTGCATGCATGACTTATTTCTTTTCTTCGTTATTAGAGGTCATTCTTTTTGGTCGACTAATATTAATTAAACTTATTGTTTTCATGATTACATGTGAATTCTAAACATGAGCATTTAATCAATTTTGGTGACACTAATAAAAAGTGAGTTCAGATATTGGATGACATGTGTTATGATATGTTTTCTGATCTGGTTATTAGGGTTAGATAGGTGCGGAAAGAGTTGTAGACTAAGATGGCTGAACTATCTAAGGCCAGGAATCAAGAGAGGCAACATGTCTGAAGAGGAAGAGGACCTCATAATTAGATTGCACAACCTACTCGGCAACAGGTAATATCACTGCATCCACTCCTATTACACGTCTTTCCTATGCTTCATCACTAGATTACTTGCTCCGCTGCTATGGCATTATACCCCAAAGACATATTGTTGTTTATTCCTTTTATGTGTTCTGACTTTTCTTTGGGGAAAATGAAAAAGAAGCAGCATTCATATTTATAAATCATTCATGCCAAGTCACTCGACATTCTTTGTCCCTTCTCAGGTTGCTAAACACAGTGATAACTTTGATACATAAACAGTGTGGGAGTGTGTGCTTACGTAAAGAATTAGAAATGACAAAGCATAGTAGGAAATGGATTGGAAATCCTAGTAAATGAAAATTTGTCTCCATCTTACTAAAAGCTCCAAAATATATGGATTAAACAGTGAATGTAGTGTTGAGGCTCATAATAGGTAAACTGGAGAGATGAAATGGAAGACAGAAAAATTATCATTGCGACGTCTAAGAAGTTAATTGGGTGTCGCATCTTCCGTGAAACAGCATGACACAATATGGCAGCAGCCATTACTGCATGAGCAAACGAGACCTCCAAGTCTTTTGATGACCTATGGAGGATGTATGTATGATAGAAAGCTGCTGTTTCACTGTTGTACGCAGATGGGCGCTAATTGCTGGAAGACTACCAGGCCGAACAGATAACGAGATAAAGAACCACTGGAATACCCACTTGAGCAAGAGATCCCTCACCATTCAGGATCTTAATGCCAAGATGAACCAGAAACTGGAGAGCTCTTCCGGCGTCGCCAGCCCATCACCGGCGCTTGCATCTGATGCGCTCCCAGTGCTGCACTTGACGGCTGATGGATCGGAGCTCAACGTCGGGCAGCCATTTGACTTCACGTTAAACTGGAATGCGACTGTAAATGAGTTTGAAGCCGAAGGCTATGGCTTTGCTGATCACGAGGAGCTCTTCCGAGGTGGGTCTTCGGTGGATGCACACCGCCACCACCTGCCGCTGCAGTTGGATGAATTGAGTGAGTTCATCGACTGTGAGGAGTACTACTTTCTCAGCTAGAGATGCTATGTCAGCATTCACCTTCTACCGGACTCCACCCAGTAATATTTCATAACCTAATTAGCGTTGAGTCAATCATAACGTTGCAAAATGAGCTGCAATAATTAATGTCTTTGAACATGGTTGATTATTTATGATCACTATTAAATACATGAATTGGTGGCAATGTTTGATCAAATAAGAGATTCATATTTTCATGATGACCATATTCAATTGATGTATATCTTCCCAATGCTCCTCATGGACATAAAAAATTCTCTCCATTTTCGGCTAAACCTTACTGCTTTATAATTAACTTCTCTGCATAGATACTAAAAGCAAACTACTATAATCTCAGCAGCAATTAATCTACAAAAAATAAATATCTACAAAGAGATTTTTTGTA